CACAGCATCTAGGAGAGCTCCAACAGCATATCTCGCAGTCCACACTAAAGCCTTCAGGTGAAGAGCACAGGTGCTCACAGATGGTGGTGGATCCTCACAAGCACACCAGTCCCATTCATCCCTCCCTTTCTCCTGCCATCGCTGGATTAAGCATGCCAATTTTCACTGCTGCAGGGTGAGGGACTTTTCAGGTCAACCTGGGTGAATAAGTAACTTAAGCCTTGGCTGCTGGAAAGAAAAGTATATCACCAGTTCAGTAAATGAGCATCAGCATGCGCATGCTGACCTTGTGCTAACAGTGCTGGAAATGGTGAATCTGCCCTGCCCCCTTCATTGTGATGATGAATACTACTTTGTGTATTCATATTTCCAATTGTGTAGCTGTTCACATTACTTGTATCACCTTATAATGTGGCTTTCCGCCTTACAGTGATCCTAATGGATCACAGGGATGATGATGATGATGATGATGATGATGATGATGATGATGATGATTATAACATTTCTATGCCGCCCCTTGCCGAAACCTCGGGGCGGCTTACAACATGATAAAATACATTGAAATACAATAGTACATAATAAATTACCATTAAATACAAAAATACAAAAAATACATTGATTTACAAATATAAAATTAAAATTATCAGTATAAAATAAAAATATAGGAGGAGAAAGAGAAGGAAGAAGAAGTTGCCCTGGCCAGATCATATGTTTTAACAATTGAAATGATGTTTAAATAAAAAGGTCTTTACCTGGCGCCGAAAAACCAGTAACGACGGTGCCAGGCGGACCTCTTTGGGGAGTGAATTCCATAGGTTGGGCGCCACCGCAGAGAAAGCCCTCCTCCGGGTACTTACTCTCCTAATTTCTTTCATGGAGGGTTCCTGGAGAAGGGACTCTCCCGCAGATCTCAAAGGGCGGTCGGGCATATACGAACGTAAGCGCTGGTTCAGGTAGCCAGGACCCAAGCCGTTTAGGGCTTTATAGGTCATAATCAACACCTTGAATTGGGCCCGGGCTTCAATGGGAAGCCAGTGAAGCTGACGGAGGACTGGAGTCATGTGAGCATAACGCCCCGTCCCCGTCAGCAACCTGGCAGCTCTATTTTGCACCAATTGAAGTGTTCGGACTGTCTTCAGGGGAAGCCCCACGTAAAGCGCGTTACAGAAGTCTAGGCAGGAAGTCACCAGCGCGTGTGTCACTGTCGCCAGGCAGTCGTACTCCAGGTAGGGGCGCAGCTGATTAATCAGCTGAAGCTGAAGGAAGGCGTTCCTCGCCACCGCTGTCACCTGAGCTTCCAAAGAAAGCTCCGGGTCGAGGAGTACTCCTAAGCTGCGGACCTTATCCCTAAGAGGGAGTGTTGCACCGTTCAGGACCAGGTCAAATGCACCCTCTCCGAAACCCGATCCGCCAACCAACAGGACCTCCGTCTTGTCTGGGTTGAGTTTCAGTTTATTGGCCCTCATCCATTCCCTTACCTCGGCCAAGCACCGGTTCAGCACAGCTACTGCCTCACCTGGATGAACTTGCCCTGACTTTATTATGCCCTGATACAACAAAACCAGGCCATTTTAATAGCAGGTTTTTTTTTCTCTGCCTTTAGCAACGTTCAACAGAAATGCCTGCTCCCCAAACCAGCTCAGCCATTCTCTTTGCATAATTGACTGCAATTCCAGTATCCATGAGCAAGGTAAGGATCATTTCCCAATTAAAAATGGTAAATTCTGATAAGAATGAAGAACTGCTAGGAAAAAGAAATGGCCAGCACCTGTAGATGACTCTGCCTGCCATTTGTATGGGTTTTCAATTTTCAGTTGCTCAAAACTAGGAACAATGCCCACATCGATAGACCTGTGCAAGAGTGTGGCCCCTGTGGCATTCTCTGTAACTGGTGCACACCCATCTTTTCAATACAAAAAGGGAAGTACTGGCAAAGTGCAAGCACTTTTATGATATTATTGTTATAGTTACTGTTCTTAAATAATAGCCCATATACTTCCTGAGATGTCCTCTGCAGTGGCCACCTTGGCAGAGAGGGTGACAAACAAATATGACTAATTATACTAGTTTTCAAGTTGGCACAAGATCTGCTTGTTTTTGCCAAAACCACTCAGGCAATGCATTGGGTTGTCTTCTGCCTGCTATGGCATAGTCTGTAAAGTACTCCTTTCCCAAAGAAAGGGGGGCAGTGAAGGTAGTGTGAATGAAGCAGAAGCCCAGATGGCTTCTGTGCCTCCCAATATATTCCGCAGAGTCTATTCCCTACCCCCCTTTAATTAACGGCACTTTGCACCTTCCCAAGAGGTGCTAAGTGCTGCAAGTTGAAGCCAATTAGCACCTCTTCCTAGGATTTGATTATGCCAAATAATACAGGGGCACTCCCCACTGTTGCTCTAAAAAGCCATGGGAGAAAACTATGCCCGTGTGTGCGTGCGTGCGCGCGCACATATATATCTTGTTGGCAGCTCTCCAGGTTTGCTACCTAGATTTTCAATTATCCTAGCAGGCTTTTCCCACCATTTTCCAAAGGACCAGATGTACTCCAGGTAGAACTCTGCATTATCAGAAGGACTGCAATGACGTGGCTGCAGCTCCACCAGTCTCCAAAAGCAACACTTCTTTTGGGGAGATTTTGTTTTCTCTGGGAAGACTGAGGTAGGGATTTAGAAGGGAGGTTTCCAGCATCCCCATCTATTGTGCACTTGGGCTGAGCCTGTTTGCTACAAAACACGGCACCGCAGCAGTGCTGTGCCTGCATGGATTTCAGTCTCCTCTCTGCAGCATGTGGGAAGACTAGGTGGGGTGGGAATGTGGCACACATCCTCAAGGCCTCTCGCCCCACCTTTACCCCTGCAACTTAAATAGACCTTGGAGGAAATTAATTTGGATTGGAGGAAATTAATTTGGATTGGAGGAAGGAAGTGTCATTCGTCTCTGATACCAGTTAATCACTCCCCAAAGACCCTCTCCAGATGTTTTGTGCTACCTTTCCCAAGCCTTCCTGACTACTGGCCAAGCTGGCTAGGGCTGATGGGAGTTCAAGTCCTAAACATTTGCGGGGGATTGGCGGGAGGGCTGCTTTATGTTACGAAGGAGTCGACCAGGCCCACAGCTTAAACACTGCAGGAAGGGGGACTGGACTGGGACGATGCCTGCTGAATGGTGCCCCACCCTACGCACCCCACGGCCAGGGGAAGCAGGCAGCACACACGTGGGCGACTTGTGATGTGCTAGGTGCTTGCTCTGTGACACAGAAAACTGCGAGACAGAAACAGCCTCCGTATCATCTGAAAGGCTCGGAGAAGGAAGGAAGCTGACCGGGAGGCCACGAGAGAGTGGCGCCCCCTGTGTGGATGGAATTCCCCCAAGGGGTTTGTTCGGCACCTACGCCGTTGCTTTGCAGGACCAGGGAAAAGCTATTCTTTTCTCCAGAGCGTTTTAGAGACTTCGTTCTAATTCTTTACGGCTGCTTTACTGACTTCTGTGCTGTTTTTTAAAATGTTGCATTGCATTCTTTTGCGTATTTGTATTGTGTTTTATATTTTGAACAGTTCGTATGGCATGTTAGACTTTTCAACTGTGTGAAATTCACCCCGTAAGCAGAAGCAATTGGTCGGATGAAAAGTAAGAGAAACGGGTAGGGCTAAAAACTTGCGTTTCACGCTGTGGAGGGCTGAAAAGCGCTCCATCCAAGGAGTTCCCACACTCGTCGCAAGGGCAGTGCTCAGATCAGCATCCAGCCATGCCTGAGCAGGACCATGACAAAGGTCCATCAATGGTGGTCGGCCTCATCCTTCTGGAAAGCCCCCGATCTGGGTAGGAAGGAAATAGGACGCCCCAACAGTTTCTCCGCCGCAGCTGAGAGTCCGGGATGCACTGCCTCTGACCTGGGGATCGATGGAGCTGGGCTGTCCTCTCCGCCGCGCAGGTTTCCAGTCCCATTGTAGCCCGGGCGAGCCTCCGCGCCGCGGGCCCGCGCTCTGCCGGGCAAGGCTCCCGGCCCCGAGCGTCGCTTCTTTCTGCAGGGGAGAAGAGGGGGAGGGTCCGCGGCCGATCTCCAGCATGGTGGGCGGGTCCGGGGGCGGACTCACCGCCAATGCATTACAGCGCAGGTGGCTCCGGCTGGGCGCTCCATTCGCCGGCGGTGGCGCTTCTCAGGCTCCGAGCGTCGCGTCGGCAGAGCGGGGCAGCCGAGCCTTGGGCTGCAGCCACGCGGGGCCGGCTTTCTCGGGAGCCCCGGCGTGGAGTGCGCCAGCGGCAGAGGCAGCTTCTTCGATCCAGTGCTGGCTCACGTGCCCCGGCGGTGGAGCCGGCAGGAGCTCGCTGGGGGCTTACTCCGGCTGGACGCGGCTGAAGCCAGATCGCCATGGAGGCTCAGCTCCGTCTCCACGCGGCCAGCACCTTAGCGCGGCCAGCCGTCCCCATGGCGCTCCAGGCGGCACCCAGCCCTCCCCGCTGACCAACTTTTCTCAGGCGAAAGTCGAGGAGATCGGGCCGAGAAGGCCGGCTCTCCTTCCAGTCGGCCTCCAGGCGCTTGCATGGCTTGCCTGGGCCCGATCCAAGGCCGCGCCGCGCCGCCCGGGTTTGCCCCGGCGGGACTTTTGGACCCTGCAGCCAAGCGAGTTTAAGAACAACCACAACAAACTTTTCCTGCTGCGACGCCAGCCCTTGTTCCTGCTTCTGAGCCGCCGAGCAGAGAGAGAACGAGCCCAACATGAAGCTGAGGCGCCTCGGGGTTGGTCCGTCATGGAGTTCGCCTTGTTTTGCTTTGCCGGGTTTTATCCGCCTCGAGGCACCTGCCCGGCGAGAGACCCGAAGCGTCCGGGACGGTTTGAACTGGCGCGCTCGCATCTGAGGACTTGCGATTCCTAAGAAAGGGACGGGACTAGTTTGGGGGATGCCCGACCATGTGTGCCTTGCAAGTGCTCTGGGGCCACGCTCGCCGCAGCCGCGCCTCCTCCTTCCCTGCAATCAGTGGTAAGAACTAACCAAGCAAAGCGAAAACGCGGACGGGGCCAGAGGAGACGGCAGCCGTGACCCTTGGCCGCTCGCTCGCTCGCTCGCTCGCGCCGCTCCTCGCCATGGCTGGCCTTCGTTCCAGCCTGCGAGGGGCTTTGTTGAGCCTGTTGCTCTTCTTGCTGAAGGCCCCCGCTCCCGCGCCGGCTGCCTCCAAAGCCATCGTTTGCCAGGAGATCACCGTGCCCATGTGCAAGGGCATCGGCTACAATTTGACGTACATGCCGAACCAGTTCAACCATGACACGCAAGACGAAGCCGGCCTGGAGGTTCACCAGTTCTGGCCCCTGGTGGAGATTCAGTGCTCTCCCGATCTGAAGTTTTTCCTGTGCAGCATGTACACCCCCATCTGCCTGCTGGACTACGCCAAGCCGCTGCCGCCCTGCAGGTCGGTCTGTGAGAGGGCCAAGGCTGGTTGCTCTCCCCTGATGAGGCAGTATGGCTTTGCGTGGCCTGAGAGGATGAACTGTGACAAGCTGCCGCTCCTGGGAGATGCTGAGATGCTGTGCATGGATTACAACCGGACGGAGGCCACCACCGCACTGCCCCCGTTTTTCACCAAACCCACTCGCTCCTCCAAGGGTGCCCACAAAAACCTCACCCCGCTAAGCAGTGGTGACTGCAAGAGAGTGTGCGAGTGCAAGGAGCCCTTGGTTGTCATCTCCAAAGAAACCCACCCCCTCTACAACAAGATCGAGACAGGCCACGTACGCAACTGTGCCATCCCTTGCTTCCAGCCCTACTTCACCCAGCACGAGAAGACTTTTGCCACCTTCTGGATAGGCCTGTGGTCTGTCCTCTGCTTCATCTCCACCTTCACCACAGTGGCCACCTTTCTAATTGACATGGAGAGGTTCAGGTACCCGGAGCGCCCCATCATCTTCTTGTCTGCCTGCTACCTCTTCGTGTCCATTGGCTACATCATCCGGCTGGTTGTGGGCCATGCCAACGTAGCCTGCAATGCAGATTACAACCATATCCACTATGAGACCACGGGGCCTGCTCTGTGCACGGTGGTCTTCCTCCTGATCTACTTCTTCGGCATGGCCAGCTCCATCTGGTGGGTGATCTTGTCTCTCACCTGGTTCCTGGCTGCTGGCATGAAATGGGGGAATGAGGCCATTGCTGGCTACTCACAGTATTTCCACATGGCAGCTTGGCTCATTCCCAGCGTCAAGTCCATCGCTGTGCTGGCCCTGAGCTCGGTTGATGGTGACCCAGTGGCTGGCATCTGTTACGTGGGGAATCAGAACCTTGACAAGCTGAGGGGCTTCGTGCTGGCCCCGCTGGTGGTGTACCTCTTCACTGGGACCATGTTTCTGCTGGCAGGTTTTGTGTCCCTCTTCAGGATTCGGAGCGTCATCAAGCAAGGAGGCACAAAAACGGACAAGCTGGAGAAGCTGATGATCCGCATCGGCATCTTCACGGTGCTTTATACCGTCCCGGCAACCATCGTGGTGTCCTGCTACATCTATGAGCAGCACTACAGAGAGATGTGGGAGGTCGCTCTGAACTGCTCCTGCCCCGGGGACAAGAGCAAGCCCAAGCCCGACTACGCAGTCTTCATGCTGAAGTACTTCATGTGCCTGGTGGTGGGGATCACCTCTGGAGTCTGGATCTGGTCTGGCAAGACCCTTGAGTCCTGGAAGCGGTTTACAGGGCGATGCTGCCAGCGGGGAAAGCCCCCTAGCATGGCCATGTACAGTGAAGCAAACACCGCTCTGACTGCCAGGACAGGGCTGCCCAGTTCCGCTTCCTACCACAAACAAGCCCCTCTGTCCCATGCATAACACTGAAAAAAGCACCTTGCTTGCCATGGTTGGGAGCAGGTAAGTGGGTGGTGAAGCTCCCGACTGGCAGAGGTTTGGGAACAACCTTGGAGCTTTCTGTCTGCTCTGGAACTGCTTGCTTCACCTCCAGCTCTGAAAGGAGGTGCTTGTGTTTTGCCCACATTTCAAGATTGCTGTATTTACCAATGTCACAATGCACCCTTGTGTGAGATTTCCTTCCCCCTTGAAGAACGGGGAGTGAAGCTTTCTGCAACCTTGCATTCTCCAATTACGTTCACCTACAGCTCTCATCATCGCCTTACCAGCAAAGCTGTGCTGGTCAAGGATGATGGGAGTGGTGTCTCCACACATTTGAAAAATGCCAAGTTGGGGAACGCTGGTGGCATAATATTTAGAGCCAGAAGCTACGTTAGATGGGAGGATCTCTAGGCACTGTTTTGATTTTTATGTGAAGAATGCAGCAGTTGTGAATGAAAGATGGGAAGAGGAGCTGCTTAACCTTTTTCTTTCCTGCTATATCTACTCAGTATGATGCCCTAACTGTTTCTCTCCATCTTTTGACATATTCTTGGGAAAGCAGCTCAGGGTGGATGACTGTGCACAGACAAATGTCTGGAAGGGAAAGGGTTAAGCAGCCCCTCCTCACCTGCCCTTTTCAGGGGACCAGCAGGGCCACCCACTACATGTCTGATCAGAAATAAGCCCTGTTGAGTTGACTGGAACTTATTCCCAGGTCAGTGGCTGGGATTGCAACCCACTCGTGTATTGTCTCCCATGTAGCAGTGAGCTTGGCCTCCCAAATTGAGAAAGGCGTGTTTTGAGTCCTTTCCACTAGGCTGAACTGGGGATGTGTGTGGTCAGACATAAAATATGCCTGTGTCATTTCACACATGCTACTGATGTTTGAAATATAAAGAATCCATTTGGAGGGAGGATCTCCTTTAAAATTGATGGTTGTGGAGTTAACGCCTGACCAGAGCCCAGTTTCAGGTTTTATTTTTGGATGGTAGAACTCTACCATCATCACTTTTGACTGTTGCCTCTGCCAAATTGAATGCCACACAGTCTCATCAAGGCTGTGTAATAGTTTTTCGCTGCTGCTGCTGCTAGGGATGGGTTTAAAATAAAAATAGGAAGGGCAGCCCTAATCTTTTGATGGGTGACGATTGCACAAAGTCCTCCTTAAATGTAGAAACTGCACATGGCATCTTGATGCGTGTTGTTTTTTTCTGTCTCTTTGCAAACAGTGGTGCATTGCTTTAGCATTTCTTTAATTCCTAAAGCTGCTTTTAAATATATGACTCAATCTCTCCCAACCTGGTGTTGGGCAATGACCCCATGACCCCTTGCAGGATGGGGACAAAGAGAGTTGTAGTCCAACAGATTTGAAGGGAGCCAGCTTGGGGAAGTTTCATGCACTGACCCTTCCCAGTGCTGCCTTCCACCCCCCTACCCCCCATAGAGGGGTAAAGAGTTAAGGCTACAACGAGGAGTAGAAGTGGGAGTAAAACTGGAACGTAGTGTGACTTGTGCCTGCATGCCTAGGATTGCACTGCAGGTCTTTAACAATGAAGAGCGCATTTGAGGACCAGTTTCTCTTGATGGACAGCAGCAATCAGGAGGAAAGGAACTGCTCTCTCCTTTGGCAGGTCAGCGCTGCATGTTGGCTCAGAAATGAGCCTGGGGCTCCCTTGCAACAGAGTGCGTGGAGATCCCACCTTAGAAGCCACTGGATACATTTTGATTTTCTGATGCAGCTTTCCCTTTATCCTCTCCTACCCGTTAGTCCATGATTTATTGGAACAATGGTGCTTGGGTGCCCAGCATTCATGTGTGGCTGCTGTGGTGAATGGGGACCGGCATGCCGGGGCAGGGGATTCCAAATGTTTTCTGCTCCCCGGCCTTAACAACTAGGACTCTGCCACTGGTTTGGTCTTCTAAGACTGCATTAGCTTTGTAAAAAAATGTAGGCAAGGACAATCAGTTAACTGCCCCTGCCACCTTGGCCCCTGCTTCAGAAGGGGGTCAAAGCCTGGGCTGCTGCAGACACCTTTGGAGCAAAGCTGCTCCATGCCACCCTTGTAAGGGCGGCACCTGCCAACACCTGCACCTGTTGGCAGGGGCCAACAAACATGAAACAGGAGTAGCTCTGGACAGAGGTCACTAACACAGGCTGTCACACCTCTTCCAATGCAAAATGATTGCACTTTATATGTGGGGAAAATGTAGGTTGAATCTGCTGTGCTGGGAGGATGGGGCCATTTCCCTGACCTCCAGCTGCATATGTGAAGGGCTGCTCTGCTTTTGAGAGGCTGGCTTGAGCAGAGTGCGGCCTCATCTGGCCTTTCACTCATGGGCAAGCAGATCCAGCCACCCCATAAGTCAGACTCAGAGATTTGCCCCACAGCCCCCTCTGGGGAAGGAACCCCTACGAGCCAGCATCTGATGGCTGGACCACACCTGCACATCTGTAGCTTGATGAGCGTGTGCAGCCATCACAACTCAAATTTGTCACCTTGTGTGCTCCTCTCACAGTGCTTTTCTCTGGGTAGGATGTATCCACTGCAGTGAGTAGGGAAAGTTGTGTTCTCGTTCTCTTTCTGTTCATGCTCCATTCAGAAGTGGCAGGACCCCCGCTGCAGTGCCTCATGTGCTTATCTGGGCTTTACCTTGCTTGACATCTGAGGAGGAAGGCATCAGCTTAGGCAGTCAAGGGTGCCTAAAACTGGCTGGTTTATACCCAGTGCTTGAGAGGAAGAGAAAAATCCATTGTCTTCCTCTGCAGTTGCCTGTGCCTTCCCTCTCAGAAGGCAGAGATTTGCTTCATGTGATCTGGGACCCTGCACTTTCAGCACTTTTCATGGAGACTTTCTGATATCACTGCCAACCAAACACACTGGCAGCATCTTGCACTGGGGTCTCTGTAGGACAGCTTTTTCAACTTGGCACCTTTCAGATGCATTGGCCTGCAACTCTCATCATTCCTCTGCAGCAGGGCCACTGCCAGTTGGGTGTGATGGGAGTTGTAGTCCAGCACTTGCAGGAAGCACAAGTGTGGGGAAGACTGCTGCCCTGCAATGGGAGCATCCCTCCAGCTTTCCTCTGGGACTTCTGGTCTGATGAGTAGGGACAGGTGTGAATGGACTCACCTGCATGCACTCAGCACTGCTGCTGGAGTAATGTTGGCTGAAGGCTTCCAAGCTGACACAAGAATCCAGCTTTTGTTTGCTGTGCAGATCTCACATCTGCTGCTGAGGCAAGGTCACGTCCAGTTCCTGGACCGGATGGCTGAAGCACTAGGGGCCAGGTCAGATGTTAAAAACACATGATGTAGAGGAAGACCACGTTGAGGCAAGGCTAGGGGGTCGTGGACATTTGGCTAAAAGGAATTTGGGCCTGGAGGGCAATTAGCAACACTTCCTTTGTGGAAGGTAAAGGGAAGGGCTAGAGCAGAAAGAGGGTTGTGGGGCCATATTTCTGCAGGTTGTCATTGTGTGGAATGGCTCTGGCCGGCACCTCCTGCTGCAAACAGGAGCTTCATCCACTGAAACTATTTTCAGAAAGATTTGCTACAAGGCAGACTAAGAGCCTTGTGGCACCCTAGACTAACCAGTTCATTCTGACAACTGCTTCTGTTGCCTGGGGTCCACTCCATAGAGACCTGCACTAAAATAACACTTCATGTGCCACATAAAGTGGACTCCAAGCCAACAAAGCTTTTGCCAGAATAAGTTAGTTAGTGTTTAAGTCACAGCTCTTTTCATTGCTTCTCCCTCATAGATAGCTAGATTTTTTTAAAAAATCCAAATGGCTTTTAAGGAAAGCACTAGGTTCAAAAAGATGGTATTTGGGTTTGCAAACTGGCATCTTTGAGACTACTGTGAATACAGCTAGTCAGGTGGAGCCGTGGCCCAGACCTTCCTCTGGAGATGGCTTAGCACTGAGGGCAATTTTCTACCAGCCAGGCTGATCATGGCATCATCCTGTGCAGATGTCTGCAGCCCCCCGAGCCTGGAACAGCATGGGCATCCCATTGTGTGTGGCAGGTGGGAGGACCAGGGGGGCAATTCAGCCTTCATGCTCCCCTCAAAAGCCATTGACTTCTGACCGGCTGCTGCATCTTTTGCCTCTGAAGAAGATGCAGAGGCCAAAGACGCAGCAGGCTGAGGTCCCTTCCTGGTTCCTTCATGGGAAGGTGGTGCCTTGCTCCCCTCCTCCCCACACTGCAGAGTTCCCCCCTCCCAAGGCCTGCTGCAGAGACCTCCTGCCTTCAGAGCTGCCATCAACATGGAAAGCACCAGGCGGCTGCAGGGGTGGAGGGAAGGGGGGCCCTTCCAGTGCAGGTGCAAAAGGATCCTGACCTTTTCCAGTGGCAGGCTGGGCAGCTTCTACTGGCCACAGCACGGCACCTTCAATGCCTTTTTTAAAAAGTTGGTTTCCTTGCTGGATTTGTGCCCCATCCTCCACTTCCCTCCCTCAAAAATATTGATGTGGAGCAGATGGCATTTTATCCTCAGACCAGCTCTGCAGGGCAGGCTAAACTGAGGCAAGCCTGGATGGTTCCAAATTGAACTGAGCCCCCGCTTTGGTTGCATTGCATGTGCACCTTGCTTGGTGTCCAGCTGCCTTTTGTTTCTCTGCCTTGTTACTGCATGGCCTGGAGTATTCAAGCTAAGTGGGGGACACAAGCCAGACCACAGGCCACTGGACCTCTCAACTTCTTCCTACCTCGTGGCATTCTGCAGATGTGGCACCTGCTGGGCCCTTGTGCCCTGCAGATGAGAGACTCCAGGGCCATGGACTGATGGGATGCAGGTGAATGCTGCTGTTGGCCATGATGTCTGGTGAGCGCAGAGCTCTTGCTCTGCTTCTGCATCCTGGGGAACAGCTCCTGTTTGCCTGGCAATTGGGGTGGCCACCTTGTCTGGCTTAATGTTGGAAGAAGGACCGATCCTCTCGGAGCCTGTTGTTTTGTTTGTGGTTTTGTGGTGCATGCAATTCATGCTGCTTTCCTAAGAAAGCTGTCACGGAAGGTGCTGCCGATTAAGCAATTCGGCCAATCTCAGGTCTTGCTCATCGGTTCTCTGTTGGACTTTTTCCATCACAAGGAACCCAGCAACTGTCATGGTTGGATTCAGAACACACACAGCCCCAGGCCAGGGGTTCTCGTATTGCCTGGAGAACTC